TTTTAAAATCATTATTAAGTGCTAAAAGTCTATGCAGATGCATATTATATATCCTATTGATTTAGTATAAACACCGAATATAAATAAGTTTGTACTCTTTATTATCTTGACTTTTTAAGTAGTTTAATTTTAAGTGAAGTGTAAACAAAAAAAACAAATGTAACTTGTGTTGCTAAATTTAGAGATTAAAACTCTCAAGTCTCGAGTCGGGACCGGGAGTCAAGTCTTGATATAAAACCAGGTTATGTGTCAATCCGGGAGTCGGTTCGGGGTCGTAGTCGAATCTAGCGTCTAGTATTTGTTCAAATTATGTTTAAATACTCTTGAAATAATATTTTCTTATTTCTAATTTAATAACAAAACATAAGTGAAAAATCAATTACAATGTAGTAAATATTTTTCTTCGTATCAAACACACCTAAGTATCACTATTTTAATGTTAGAATCTGCTATGAGAGTAAATATATTGTTATATATACTATAACTATAATTAATTAATATTGTTATGCATATGTAATAAATTTTAATAAACTATTACTTGTTTTCCCCCCAAAAAATGTGGGTATTACAAAATGCATCCGAGATCACCTCCTTTATATGCCAAAACCTTCATAATTACGGTAAGTTCAGTAGAGAAAGGAATATTTATGACTTCTCCCCTTTTTTTAAAAAAAATAATTATTTTGACTAAATATGAAGTTTAAGAAAATAAAATAGACTTTTAAATCATGTGGTCTTAAATTAAAATTATGTCAAATTTATCAAAACACCCATTAATTTTGCGGTCTTAAACATGCCACGTGAAAAATTGAAATTAAAGTATTGCCAAAAAAGCAAAGGGTCATTCTTTTATAAACGGACTAAAAATAAAAGTAGTTCATTCTTTTTTAAATGAGGAATGAAGTACGAAAACAATTAACCATACAAAGCTGGTATAAATAACTACTCCCTTTGTCCCTAATTACTTGTCCACTTTTTCTTTTTTAGTTGTCCCTAATTACTTGTCTATTTTGACAAATTAAGAAATGACAATTTTTTTACCTATTATACTCTCAATTAATTACTTTGAAAAATGTATAACTTCTTGAAAATCTTAAGTATTTAATTCACCCAATTCATAATTAATAGAGGTAAAATGATAAATTCACTATGTCGATAATTATTTTCTTAATAGGTGTGTCAATTTAAAAGTGGACAAGTAATTAGGAACAAAGAGAGTATTGAATAACATGTGAAAATGTTACTCCCTCCGTTCAAAATTACTTGTCACTTTTTAACTTGACAAACTCATTAAAAAAACTTTGATTAGCATAGTGACTTTACCATATTACCCCTATTAATTGGTACTTGTTGAAATTGACCATTTGCAATTTCAAAAAGTCCAAGTAAATAAATTAAGGGTAAAATATGAAATTTTATGTTGTATTTTCTTGATATGTCAAAAATGACAAGTAAAAATAAAAGACAAAAATAGGAATAAGTAATAAGCAATTTTGAACGGAGGGAGTAGAAAACTTTTATATAAATAGAACATTCTAATGAAGTTATTTCTTTCCTAGTGATAATCGAATTTTGTAATTCAAAATAGGCATAATACATAAACATGCTCTTTAACTCAGCTTCAACTCACAGTTATGCCCTTCAACTTTGGATGTGCGCAAGTAGACACTTAAACTTGTATAAAGGTAAACACGTAGACACACATGTTCTATGTGACATAATGCACGTATAACGCCACATAGGGATGCGAATTGACACATAGGATGCCACGTTTGACGTATGTGTTTACTTGTACACATTCAAAATTAAAGAGATATAATTTTGCACTAACCGGGAAAAAAATTCTTCTTCAATATGAAAATCAATGAGTGAAATTTACTCTGCTCCAATTTACCAGCAAGTATAAATAATAAATGCATATTTTCACAAGAAAAAGAGTATTATTAATGTTTTATATTTGTGTAAGAGACCTCAGTGGTCACTAATTATCATTTTACACCCACAGGCCACATTATTTGCACGGGGTATATATGTTTGATTTAAAATACAGAAAAGTGTATTCAAAACATAGTCGTAAGAGATATTTAATGTAATTAATTCATATTTTTTATCTTAATTTATTGGGATTTGAGCTTAAATCACTAAAATTTACCTTCACTTCAACTGATCACTGGTCCGTACTCTTTTACAGACACAATGAATATATATATAGATAATGAGATTGCTATTATTTTTTCTGTTTCGATTTATTTGTCTTTTTTTTTTTTAATTTCGTTTAAAAGTGAATGCCTCTTTTTTTAGTAACTTTTTAATTTCATTTTTTCACATGATATGTTTTGATATCATGAGATTAAATAATACTTTGATACATCATTAATTTAAGATCATGAAATTGAAAAATATTTTAATAAATATAATATATCTTTAATTTAAGATGATGAGATTTTAAAAAAAATACTTTTTCTAAATTTCATACTAAATTAAAATAGAACAAATAAATTAAAAACCGAAGCAATTTTTTTTTTTAGGCTTTCGATTTCTATTCCAAACCCAGTGGACCCAATGCAGAGGCCCCTATATGAAACTTAATTGTGAAGAAGTGGATGGAAAGTGACAAAGGCTTTTTTTTTTATTCATTCAATGCTCGGTATTCGTTTTGGAGCTCTATTAATTTAAATTTATTATGTGTAAAGTCTCATTCGAGGGAGAAACGCTCCCTATCAAGAATCTTATCATATTTAAAGCTCAAATTTAAGATTTCTATTTTCTTTTTAAAGTAACTCTATCCACTGCACCATAGCTATTCTACCATTCACACATATATTGTTTATTTAATGGTAATTATTAAATCAGAATATTAGCCAAGTGAGGCTATTAAACCAATATTCAATAAGGGATACACGTAAGGATGTATAAATCAAATAAAAAAATCACATCAAATTGATAAAAGAAAATTAATTAGGCTTGATTCGATTTGGTGAGTAAGAAAAAATAGAATCAAATTGATATATAAATATATAATATTTGTATATTTTAAAATAACTTTATATATGCTTTTCTTTACTACATGAAGAAATATTTGTAATTTTCTCATTGGATCGATGTTTAATAGAATTATATAGTGTATCTAAAAAGTAAGAAAACACATTATTGGAGTTAAATTCTTTTTTATTTCTTTACAAGCATTTGATATCTAAAATTCATTAATTTAACCATCTTAATTCAGGCAGAAAAATAATCTATTATGACAGGTGTAAGGTTTTAACAAAGGTCAATGTAGAATTATAGTTCGAAATCTTCAAAAAAATATTTGTATTGAAGTCATTATATTTTTAAAATTATGGAGTCATATATACTATATATTCATTATAATTTTTTCCACACAGAAATGAACAACATATATATACATGTAGAGAGCATAATAAGACAATTGATCTCTTAGATGGTGCTTGAATTTGCTTAAAAGTTGATCAAACCTACTTAAGTCAATTTTTGATTTTTGGAAGTTTTTGACAAATATAAAAAAATAACTTAAAAATAAGTCAAAAATCATTTTAAAAGTGTTTTGCAAGGTCAAAAATCACTTAAAATAAGTTTAAAATGACTTAAAATAAATCAAAAATCAAAAGTAGGTCTACCCCTACTTTTTATTTTTTTTGACTTAAAAGTCATTTCAGTTTGACTTTTATGTTCGACTTAAAAACTATTTTTTTAAGTCAATCCAGACGGGCTCTTAGTCGAGGGGCCAAGAAGCAATTATTTGATGGTATAAGAATTTTGCTAATTTCTTTAGGGGTATTTTGGTTGGGAACAAGTAGCTATCTCAGAATAAGTTATCATACGATAAGTTATTTACTATGTGTATAAGATAACTTATCTCATTACTAAGTGTATTGATTTCTTCTGTGTAATACTAATCGATAGAACCTCATTGGTAAGTGCTACAAGATCTTGTGCATTGGAACCCATGGTTATGAACCCGAATCTGTTAGTATGGAACATTACCTTTTCCAAGTGAAATCCCGTAGTATATGAAAGAGTGAAAAAGTGCTTTCGTTGTTGTGGAATAAGAAGCCTTCGTATCTTAATGCACATATTTAATTTATTCAGAGCTATTAGAGCGGGATCCACTTTTTGGGGAATATGAATCAAAGCAATAACCAAACACATGATACTCCCTCTGTCCAGTAATACTTGTCCACTATTGATTTTACACACTTCTTAAAAAACTATAAATAGAATGATAATTTTACTATATCACCTATTGGTTAAAAGAGAATCAAAATCAATTTATCAATGAATCGTGAAATGCTATGGTTACTATCAAAAAGTCTCATGCTTATGTTACTGTTATTGATGGTTTGATTATCTTGGACCAAGAGGACCATTTGAATATAGTATATACAATATCTTGAAAAATATAATAAGAAAATGACTATAATTAATGATAAGGGTAAATTAGGAGCTTAGTGTAAAATTATTCATTGATTTCATAAAGCGGACAAATATTGTTGGACATCCTAAAAATGTATAGTAGACAACTATTGCTGGATGAAGGAGTAAAATAGTTCTGCATTTATTCTTGAAATTATTATATCTTATACCTCACATATAACGACTTATTAATGTTTGCAAATGAGGTAGTGTGATAATATATTAACTAGGTTTTTTTTTTAAAAAAAAATTTCCACCCAATATTTGGTACCCATATTGAAACTCGACTATCCCAAATTTGTGCCGCATTTGATCTCATTGGACATTAAAGATTGTTACCTACTCAGAACCCAAACCCAAACCCGAACCGGTAACTATTGAGCATATAATTGTAATTTTGTAGCCACCAATACAACAAAAGGGTGGGGGCAATCATTGATTAATTTGACAAATATTCTCTGCTTTGCTTTCACCTTCCACTAATCAAACGCCAACACAAAATCTCCAAATTAATTATTTTAATCCTTCCCTCTTATACTTTTTTCAACCAGAAACCAACAAAATTCAAATTAAAGTGATGTATTACAGTGTGACAAAACAAAAAATGGTAAAAAAGTGTGTGGCTTTGGATTCTTGTAGCTGAATAGTGGTTTTTCTTTAGAATGGCAAAAGCATCTGACCCTTTTCTTCTTTTAGTGTCTTTTTCTCACTCTAAAAAGAGTCTTTCTGTGTTGTTGGTGTGGGAGAGATGAGGTTGTTGTTGCTACTGGCAGTAGTACTGTTGGTGGCCATTTTGGCGAATTTTTCAAGCTTTGTTAATGGTGATACAGATCCATCTGATGGTTAGCCCCTTTTGATTTATTCATCATTCTCTTTATTTATTTCTTTTTTAGTATGTGAAGTAGTAAGTACAAGTTCCAGTTTTCTTGTTCTCAAGGAAAAATTTAGCTGAGAGTGGGCTTGAGTCTTGACAACTCATGAAATGAACAAACCCAACTGAAAAAACTTGTTTCTTTGAAGCCCCATGATATTGAAAAGAAAATAGCATTTGAAAACACTAGGTCTAGGCTTGGTAGATAGAGTTATGTGGTACATGTTGTTGGTATATATCCTTGGAATTAGTTAGTTGCACACAAGCTGGCTCGGACACTGTGGTTATCATAAAAAAGAAATCTTTGAAAATGATGGATATAATAAGTCTTGCTTGGGCTGCATCAATGGTAGTCTTCACTTTCGAGTATGGGAAATACTCATTACTTATGGCTGAACAACCCCTTAGTCTTGTCGACTAGATTGAGTCATAGTTATTGTAATTGTTGAATTTACTGTTGCCGATGCACTTAATAGTTACAACAACATATCCAATGAAATCTTGTAGCTGGGGTTTGGGAGGGTAGAGTGTATGCAGACCTTACCCTACCTCGTGGAGATAGAGGGGAGACTCTTTCGGGAAGATGCACTTAATAGCTAATAGAAAACGTCAACCTTCTCACAATAATTTTCTTTCATTAAAAATTGAACAAGTCTGGGTAAAAGGTAAATCCTTACAGAAACTTGTGGTTTGTGAATGTGATTGGTTTTAGTTACTATTGCCAGCCTTATATAAGCAATTACTGGATAATGTTTTCTACTTTATGTGGTAAGGGGTGACAAACACCAATGAGTTTGAAGTTGATCAAAACCTTAATAAAGCTATATAATTTACTTTTGGACTCCTGATGATCCAAAGAGTTTCACAGTAATGGTTTGGTTAAGTTGCTCGCTACTTTGTACCATGCTGGTCAAGTTGCCGTAGCTGCACATTCTTTTAACAGATTGTCCTATGTAAAATCTGTCTCTTGAGCCGTTCTCTGTCCATATATAACTATTTCTTTATCATTAAAATTCCTTACACAATCACATATGTCTTGATTTTAAATTAATCTAGTTGACTTCTGTTTGGCTTTCAGCATCTGTTCTGAGAGTCCTGTATACCACCCTAAACTCACCAGGGCAGCTGACAAAATGGAATGCCAATGGCGGTGATCCTTGTGGAGAGTCCTGGACAGGCATTACCTGCTCGGGCAATAAAGTTACTGAAATGTGGGGTTCGGTCTTCCTTTTTGTCTTCATCTCCATGTTGTTTCAACTTTTTGGAATTATTGACTAGGTAAACTGATGATTAGTTTCTTTTCATTTTCCGTCAGCAAGATGTCAGGTCTTGGGCTCTCAGGTTCATTGGGGTCTCAGCTAGATAGTCTAAAATCTGTGACCAATTTGTAAGATAAATGGCCTTTGTTTGTTCCTTATTAATTGGATTTATGTTGAATTCCTGAATGTGGTCATCTTTGTGAATGTTGCAGTGACATAAGCAATAACAATATGGGGAGCCAGTTACCTTACCAGCTTCCTCCAAATGTGCAAAGATTGTATGTTTGTTTATTTGCATATCTTCCTCCTTGCAGGTTCTATTTTCTTCCTCTTATCTTTCTTAGAACTTGCCTTGCAGAAACCTCGCTTCTAGTGGTTTTAGTGGTGGCCTCCCATATTCCATTTCACAGATGACCTCCCTCCAGTACTTGTAAGTGAATGCTTAAATTTAATATTTGCTTAAATACTTGGTCCTCTTCATTCTCTTTGGGGCTCCTTATGATTCTTTGCAATGTTTATGCCTGGTTGTAGAAATGTCAGTCATAATCAAATTCAAGGATCAGTGGTTGTCTCGTTTGACTCGCTCTCTGCACTCAACACATTGTAAGGCCGATTCATCTCCTTCCATTACACCAGAGTTTTCATATTGCTTAATTATGATCTGAATGAGAATAGTTTGCTGTTCTCAAATGTTATGATGAAAGTACACTTATTCTATTATTTAAGTTGTCTCGATTTGAGAAAGAGGTTAAACACACTTGTTCCATTTCCCACATTACTGTGCAGAAGTGAGTCATGTCTTTGGTCTGCTGCCAAAGTATTGAATTATGCCAATTGAGCTTAGTTGCTACTTAGATTGTACTTATTCTTAAGCAAGTATTAAAAGCCTCAAAGGTGCGCTTATGCCCTAAAACGAGGTTTAAAACGTGTTGAGCGCTTTGCCTTGCTTAATGTGTGCTTTAGTGTCATCATCAAGGTCCTAAGGCATACTTTCCCTTGACTAAACAAGTGATATTTCACTTTATCGTAAAAAAATCCAATTTCTTTGTTCATATATTTGTCATGCATGCTTATAATTATTAGTCTTGGACTAAACATATATATACTTGTATTTTTTTCTCCCTTTGCACCTTTTTTTCATTAAAGCTTACACTTTATTTGCGCTTTAAGCCCCAATGGACCTTAGAACTTTTTTGTGCTTTTTGCTTTTGATAACGCTGGTACCTTATCATATTTTCTTGTTTAAAACATAATAGTTTGAAATTTATCATTCTCGGTCACAATTTTGATTGATCTTTTTAATGCTTCAGGGATTTCTCTTTCAATTCTATGACGGGTAATCTTCCTCAAAGCTTCCAGTCACTAACTAGTATGAACAAAATGTAAGAAGAGTTTTCATACTTCATCTATCTATTTGCAAACTTCCATCAGATATAGAAGTTTTGTTGTTATAATATGCAGGTATTTGCAGAACAACCAGTTTAGTGGAACTATTGACGTCCTGGCCAATCTTCCCCTCGGAAATCTGTGAGTTGTATGCCACATGTGTAGATATTATGTCTTATGTCTACATCTCCTTCAGTTTCAGTTAAATCCATTGGTTGAAAACCATGTTCATTCTTCTATTATTTAGGAATGTTGAAAACAACCAATTTACTGGCTGGATTCCAGATCAGCTTAAAGGGATAGTGCAGTGAGTGTCTTAGATTGCAATAATTTTCATTCTTCTTTGCAAATTCTTTGGGGAGTTCTTTCTAATTGTTTTCTGGATTTATGAATCTTTCATAACAGATCAAATGGTAATTCATGGATCTCTGGACCTGCACCCCCACCTCCACCTGGCACACCTCCTGCAAACAATCCCAATGGAGATCACAAATCCAGAGACAACAGCAGCAATTCGGGCAGTAGGAAATCAGGTATAGGGGGTGGAGGTGTTGCAGGAATAGTGATATCTATTCTAGTTGTTGGAGCAATAGTAGCATTCTTTATTATCAAGAAAAGATCAAGAAGGTCGTCCACAGACATAGAAAAACTTGATAAGCAGCCACTTGCTCCTCTTACTCCACAGAAAGTAGAAGGTATTTGGCTTTCATAATTCTTGATATTGTTAGAAATGTCTTGAATTCTCTCTTAACTCTTTGGATATTTCTTAACGTATAATTATAATCAATTGCGGTGTTACTATTTACTCAGTTGCTTGGGAATATGGAAAATGATGTCTAAGCCTCTATCCTTACCTTGCTAATGATTGGTCATAAACCATGCAAGTAGTATCAAAATTTTGCAAGGGGTTGTCATTGATACAGAAGGAAGCAGCAAAGCTGGAAAATATTTATCTTCGAAGTGGAAAAACTGTATGGATTTGAAAGATCCTAAGTTCTGAACAAACAAAAGTTTCATACTTTATTGGTAGTCCCGTAGGTATAATCTTTAGAAATTCAAACTGATCTTTTGGAGGAGGTCCTAAATTACGTGGTGCTTTTAAAGCTTATGATTATTTTTTGACAAATTAACATCAGCTACCCTTGATGGTTTAACTTCCTGGGAGACAAAAACTCTTGAGAATATAGTTGACCCGAAGAACTCTTGCTTCAGACTGTAACTGTCAGCACAGTGAAGGAGTCATCTTCAGGTTCATATTTGGGAAGTTGCTTTCTCCTTTTTACTCCATCAAAAGCCCACAAAACAAACCGTCTCTTACAATACGAGTTCCTTCTCATTTGCAACTTCATCAGTAATTTTCCAGTTCATGCTTATAACTTTCATGCCTCATTTCATTATTGACTTCAATGATGTCATGGAATCCGAGTTGGAGCTTGTATTTGCTTATGTCTAACTTTTTCATTGCTGTGTTGCTGTTTTTTTAAAAAGGTAACGTCACTGTTATATTTTGTTTGTTCCTGGAATTCCTACTCATTGTCTGTTTTTGGTTGCAGAGTTGAAACCTTATCAAACCTTCTCCACAGTAAGCATGGGCACATTTGAAACTCCCACTGCTGTAACTCTAAGACCTCCACCTATTAATCGCCTTAAGTCCTTTGATGAGGTTGACATGTCACCGAAACCCATTGTTCCTCCCAAGAAAATTAATACAGCTCAAATCAGGGCTACACAGTTTTCAATTGCAGACCTACAGATTGCTACTGATAGCTTCAATGTTGAAAACCTTATTGGCGAGGGATCAATTGGGCGTGTTTATTGCGCTCAGTTTGATGATGGCAAAGTAATACTTCTCTCTATGAGTACCCATTAAAAAAACTTTTTTTCTTTCTTATGACTATATAAGGTGATTTAGTGATGCTAACACATGTTTAAGCAAAAATGTATTATCAGAGAAACTACATACTTATTGTGTTCCTTTCTGTTATTTGAAATGTTGTAGGTTCTTGCTGTCAAGAAAATCAATTCTTCTGCCCTCCAAAATCATGAAGATTTTCTCTATATAGTTTCTGAGATATCACAGTTGCACCATCCAAATATAATTGAGCTTGTTGGTTATTGTTCAGAGCATGGACAGTACTTGCTAGTTCATGAATTCCATAAAAATGGTTCTCTGCATGATTTCCTGCACCTGTCAGATGAAGACAGCAAGCCACTGGCATGGAATAGCCGAGTCAAGATTGCACTTGGTGCAGCACGAGCACTAGAGTGAGTTTTTGCAATCTCAGAATTATTTTATCATATTTTATATTCAATTGGTTACAGTTATGCGGGACTATTTCCTTATTGATTCATTCCAGAAAGGATGACACGTTGCTGTATTTGGAAACAATTCACTTTATATTTCCCATTTTTACCATTAGTGAGAAGTTTTATAGCAACACAAATGTTATGGTATGTTTAAGGCCACAAGTTTCAAAAGTTTTATAGTCAGACAAATGCTATGCCATGTTTAAGATCGATCACAAGTTTCAATTTTTTTTTATCTCTTTCTTAGATTCAATGCCGATTGGAACTATGTCACATAAATTGGAAGGGGGAAGTAAAATTCATGGAGCATGCAGCAATGCTATGTTTTTCTCTTTATTTATTGATGGCTAATTACTAGTAGTTTACATGAATCTTCTGCTTATCTATATCGGAGATTCATAGAATAGATCTTCTGGGTAGAAGAAAAGGGGATTCTGTGAAAGTCAATACCAAGCACTTAGTCGTGACTCGTGATGAACTTTACCAGAGGATCCATAGTAATATTGCATTTAGAGGTCATACTTGTTGGACTAAAAAGACCACTATAGAGTTTAGTCTTTTTTAAACATTGATGACTAGTAAGTTAACATAAAGAAGAGTTCATTTATTCCTTTTAGTTAGAGCCTAGTATCCTAAATATGCCGGTCTTGCCAATATAAAGCTAATCAAAACTTCAATGCTCCCATCATTTTGTTTTATATGGTGGTGTTTGAGTGGGGACAGAGTTCAAAAAGAAAGAAAGACTTCTGGAACTTGTGGTCTTAAACTTGCCATGTCATTTGTGTGGCTATAAAAGCATGTCATTAGGGTAACAATGAATATTTGAAGTTAAAATTGTTTCCAAATATAGGAAGGCGTCAATCTTCTTGAAAAGGCTTAAAAGGAAATCCGCCATATAAAATGATACAAAGGGTGTAACAAATTTCAATTTATGTGGTTTTCATATCTGTTCATTTCCTGTTTTCCATACACAAATTTCTTCACTAGCTAATATAGGCATCCTTTGCAGGTATCTGCATGAAGTTCATTCACCATCATTGGTTCATAAAAACATTAAATCGGCAAATATTTTACTTGATCTGGAACTCAATCCTCATCTATCAGATTCTGGATTAGCAAGCCTTATTAATGATGCAGATCAGGTGGCTTTAAGCTCCTTACTTTATGCATTGTTGCAAAGTGTTTCGGTGGATTCGATATAGAAGCATGCATGCACATAAGTACACATGTATTATATAGGCATGTTTTGACATACTATTGGCTGTGTATGTGTCCTTTTCAAGGAGATAAGAAATATCAAAACACCACATGGTTGAAACGTCATTTGTTTCAGGAGAAGCTTTGTTTTGTGCACAAACCTTTGAAACATGAAATCATTTACAACAGTTTCTGGGGTTCATAAATTGGATTCCAAGAGAAGTTGTCAAGTAAAAAACAGAAAATTTTATCCAAATCTAGGGCATGGAATTATCCAGTATATTCTATAGAAGTAACACTACCATATAACTCATTTTAATGAACTAGTCTTTCTATGGTCCCTGTTGCTTTATCTCCTGCTCTTCTCTACTTACTCAATTGGTAAAATTGTAGCTGTTTCTTCTTCTTAAAAGATTCACTTCATTATCATCTTCTCAAGATATTTGGAAGTGATCATCTTTGCAGGCACTAAACCATAATACAGGGTCTGGATATGGTGCACCTGAGGTAGCTATGTATGGGCAATGCACCATAAAAAGTGATGTCTACAGCTTTGGAGTTGTTATGTTGGAACTTCTTACCGGACGGACACCTTTTGATAGGTAAAGTTGCTTAGGCATCATGATATTGTGTCAAATTACTTAGAGACAAACAGGAAGAAATTCAGAAAGTCTTAACTTTCTTGATCAATATGTATGCTCTTGATGCAGTGAGAGACCAAGATCTGAACAATCTTTAGTTAGATGGGCAACGCCACAACTCCATGATATTGATGCCTTAGCTAAGATGGTTGATCCAGCACTCAAAGGGCTCTATCCTGTTAAATCCATTTCCCGCTTTGCTGATGTAATTGCTCTTTGTGTCCAGGTAATATTTTGTATAGACGGTGTGCCTAATTCATAAATCTGCTGTGTTTATCAAGAACTTGATTCTGTTAGTTCAGTCAACACTATCTCATTGTCATGTATACTATTGTGGCAGTCTGAGCCTGAGTTCCGGCCACCTATGTCAGAAGTGGTTGAAGCCTTAGTTCGGCTAGTTCAACGAGCAAATATGAGCAAGAGGACATATAGTATTGATCGGGGTTCAAGGGGTGAAACAGATGCTCTAGACAACCAACCTTAGTTCCGATGTAATGTAGCCTTTTCTACCAGAATGTCTCTCTTTATAGTTTGTTGTTTATGGGATCTATCAGCTTATCTGTTCAGCAAGATCTTGTTGGTTGCATTGGTTGTACACACTGCTAGATACTAAAATCTGTTCATAGTGCATATTCAATTTTCATTTTTCCCTGTATCTGCTCTCCTATTCCTCTTCCACACGCGATGACATGAATGAGTTCAGTACGTACTACGTGCATTTCTAGAAAATCCAAGTCTTTGATCAGTGTAATAGTCAAGTAGGAACGGTTAAATACACATACACACTCACACCTGATTACTGACTATGACGTAGTCTTACTCCTGCCTTGTAAAGGTAGATAAGTTGGTTGCAATAGACCCTCGACTCAAGTAAAGTTTCTTGTTTATGAAATTCTAGTAACATAATTAAATTGTTCCACAGACCCCTATTCACCACTAAGTCATGTTCCTCACATTCTTGAGTGTCATAAAGTTGGCCACATTTAGCCTTTCAATACATCATATTCAATAAATAATATCATCATTACTACCACACCACTCCTCCTATTGCAGCCTAAAGTTTTAACTAATGGCCACTGGATGACCAAGATTGTGGTCTGCAAGTCATTAGCACTATGACCTGTGTTGATAGATACACTAGCTCCAATTGACTAGGCTTACAATTTACTAAACAAATTTGGGTTAAAATAATGTCAACCTATGATGAACTTGTACCTACTAGTTAATTTTCCCATATGTAGTTTCATTTGACTTTCTCTGCTCCAATATCAATCTTTACTCATAAGTTATAACTAAATAGAGAAAAGTTCTCTTATAACTAAATAGATATAAAATTTAACAATAAGTTTATGAGTGGACTGAGTTTACCTCTCCCCACTCATCCTTAACACTATTTTTTAGTATATTTTTTTTATAAGAAAGACCATAGGAGAATTTCTATGAAGTTTCTCTTTTCTTTTTCTTTTTAAAAGAGAAAGAGGCAAAAATGACCCTTTTATGTTTGTGGAAGGTCTAAATAAGTCCTTTGTATATATCCATAAATATTCTTTATCCATTATGTCTATCACCCTTAAATATTTAACAAATTAGACTGTTCGATTTAATGAAAATTGTGAAATAAAAAGAAATTCTAAAGAAAGTAACATCAATTTCAAGAAATTGCACCTTCATATTAGAGTTTTAGTTAAATCAAACAATTAAAATTTATCGAATATTTGACGATAACTAAATAGGACCAAAATATCCTTGAGATGAAATTGAAATGGCTCTTTTTAGACCTAACCCAAACACAAAAGACCTTTTTTTCCTTTTATTGGAAAGTTTTGTCAATCATTTGTAATGTCAAATTTTTGGCCTTTGCATAAGTGAAAGTCAAGTAGATATCTTTGCCATCATCTCTCCAACTTTCCTAAGTTTTAGTAGTAGAAAAGTCAAGTCAAAGTATAAAGCCTCCTAGAAGTTAGGTGGCTGTGGAAGATTTTCTTGTTTGACTTCTTCTTTGTCGTCTTAGCTCTTATTCCAACACTCATAAATACTAATACCCCTTTAATCCAAAATTTATTCCAACATTTTTTCACATTTTCTCAAATACCCTCTTCAAATCTTTATTTTTTTTGTCCTCCATTTCCATATTGGCCAATAAAAATCTTAACTTTCTATGTTTTTTCACAATTTTGAGGTTTTATAAGAAACCCCATCTCATTCTTGATTCAAAATTTGTTGAATTTCCCCTTCATTTAGGTAAAAATCTCAACTTTTCTATGTTTTTTTCATAATTTTGAGGTTTATTAAGAAACCCCATCTCATTCTTGATTCAGATTTGTTGAATTTCCCCTTTATTTAAGTAAAAAATTCAACTTTCCTACGTTTTTCACAATTTTGAGGTTTAATAAGAAACCCCATCTCATTCTTGTTTCAAATTTGTTGAATTTCCCCTTTATTTAAGTAAAGATTTCAACTTTGTGCTAGAGAAATGGAAAAATTAGATGAGTCAGGTGTATTAACTCTTTTAGGGAAGTTTATGGTGGGGTTAATTATATTTATGTTTTTAGTGGTGTTTTTTATATTCTTAGTTCATATTTACACTAAATGGTTCTTGAATCGCCGGCGGTATGTAGATACCGCCAGCGATTCTGATGGCAGTGGGACAAGGAGAAAAGTGAGTGCTAAAGGTCTTGACCCTTTGATTCTTGAAACAATTCCTGTAGTTGGATTTGATGTTAATGAATTCAAAGATGGGACATTGGAATGTACTATTTGTCTTTGTGAGTTTTCTGAAGGTGAAAAGATGAGATTTTTACCAAAATGTAATCATGGATTTCATGTTGATTGTATTGATATGTGGTTTCAATCTCATTCCACTTGTCCTCTTTGTCGTAACGCGATTTCAACGACTGAGGAATCATCATTGGAGATAGAAGAAGAGGGTTCAGCTTTGGCTTTGGCTTCAGTTGAAACTGAGTTGCCTATTTTCCCAACCAATGTGTTGTTTTGGGGAAATGAGACTCAAGTTAGCACCTTGTGTAATCCTTGTTTAGACTCGACAGCTTCCACGAGTAATCGATCACATGGAATGTTGGTGATTGATATTCCAAGGGAGATAAATGAAGAAGAAGAATCAAAATATGTAATGCCTGAAAGATTGAGACGTTTGATGAGGCTTTTGAGCGGGGATAGAAGGGTATTCAATCCTTCTAGTTCGCGAAATGTAGATATAGAACAAGGGAGTAGAAGCCCGAGTTAGCATAGACTCAGAGGCTGATCCAAGATTCGAAATTCTAACATGTATAAAGGGAACAAGGAACAAAATGTCATTACACCTATTGCTCCTTTTCAAGAAGTTAGCTTGGTTCAATTGATATATACATTTTTTTCTTTTTGTAGAACATAAGAAGTGGATATATTGTACATGTATAAGCACATTGTTATAATAGGCTTCTCTGTATAATGTACTAGCTCGATTTGCTAGATCATCGGATTTATATTTTCATGGGCTAAATTTGACACCAGTATGTTCCAACTAGATCACATAAGCTATCTTGTTACTATGTCAACTAACATTTCTGAAAATTTACAGCTACTCTTGCTGTTTCGCGTTGTGCCAATAAGTCAAGAACAGTCCTTTCGGTTTAAACATTATTGATTCTTCAATGATACAACTGATCTGCAGCCGATTCTATGTATCTTTTGTATACAAGTAGTATGTTCCTTCATGAAACTAGCTTGCTTTGCTACATTATTAGCATATATCTATTGGACGAGTTATATTTTCATGAGCTAAATTTGACACCTCAAAGTTAACTAGTGAGAGGGACCAACTCCAAGTGTAGCCTTATGTCCCTCCATGGAAGTATCTTGATTCTTGACTTACATATCTGTAATGGCTAAAGAGAACTACATAATGCTATGGAGTATGGCCCAATTTTTTTCGCACCATGTCTCTGTAGCATGGTTCGCGCCATAAGACAGAAATGCTGCTAAACGGGAGCACATTGATTTGATATAAACATCCGATGCAGGTAAGTTTGTTACAATATGACAATGTGTGTCTGTAGCATGGTTCGCACCATAAGATAGAAATGCTGCAAACGGAAGCACATTAGTTTGATATAAACACCCGGTGCAGGTAAGTTTGTTACAATATGCTGAAAATGGACTAAGAAATGCAAGGATATGCTCCATCTGTCTGGATCTTCACTTCTGAGGCCACTCTATTTTCAGGACTCTCAAGCCCCCACTCCTCACCCCATTAGTAATATTATCCGCTTTGAGCTTAGGCCTACACGGCTTTAAAACACATTACTAGTAGATAAAATCTGCTTACTTATATAGGAAACTTTCACAAATAGCCACTATAATAAACTTAATTATGCTCCATAACTATAGTTTGCATATTTACAGACTGTAGCTACAGTTTAAGTTGCATCATTTGTATAATTCGCGGGTGGGTTTGTATAATTCAACTATTTTTGTATAAATTCGAAATAACAAATTTATATCACCACAAACATCTGAACTTTAAACAATTATACAAAATTATATTATTCAAAATTACATTATAAAAAAGTTATACAAATTTCGAATTATACAAATGTGCGAATTATACAAAACTAATAAGGTGAGCCTCGTAATTATAGCTAAAAATAGGTTGCGAATTGTAATTAAGGCAAACTATAACTATGATAAGTAATTAACTGGTATATATTTATTTATCCGCTCTACTTATATATGCCCAACATCTCTTATGTTTTGCGACGTGGGAGCTGGGGTGTCACACCCTCCATCTCTATTTTTATTTAAATTTAGTACTCCTATTATGATGTTACTATAATAAAAATAATAATAATCAATCATCATAAAGCCAAATAACAAGTGAGTTACATTTCCAAGACTGCAACAGGAGAATTTAACTATTAAGAGCATCTTTTACTAAGGGAAACACACATATGTCTTCCATATAATAATTCATTGCTCTTCTTCTAAGGCAGAAAAATCATGACTTTGGAAACAACCAAAATGGAAGCACAGAGTTTTAGCTGGATGAATAAACTAACATAGAATCTTTCTCTGAATTTTAGTAGTATTAATTATCTCTAAATGAAGTGCAACAAAATAAAATCATTTTTTAATGATGTTTCAAGATATATATAGAGTTAAAAAAACAATATAGTAGATCACTTGACCAGGCTTCAAAGTTTATAAAATATTTTTCACGTGCTAGCTCACATGACCACTCTGAAACTATAATAACTAATCTTGAATCTAGAGTCCCAAATATTGAAACGTGTAATTATCTCATCTAAAAACTTAAGCCTTATTAGTATAATATATCTTCAACACGACCCTCACGTGCGTGCTTAAGTCTGAGCCAAACACATGAAAATTCATTTTGATAATAAATGGAGGTGAAACTCGATCCCAACTGAATCTCTGTCTGCTCTGATACCATATTATAAAATGTATAACCATCTCATCTAAAAAGGTTATGCTTTATTTAGTATCTTCAAAACAGTCAAAGGAGCAAGCATCACATGATCCCACAAACATTGGATCTACCACTTCATTTTAAATTGATATCAAACATTACATATAAATCTCATCACCAAATCTTGATCAACTATTACATTTGTATTGAACTTACTTACTATGAAGTGCCATTCAACATTGCTAGTAACTTTTGTACTAGCCCTCATCGTGATTCAACTACATTCAGGGCATAATGCTGCTACAGAAGCAGCTCGATTCGTTTTCTCATCATCAGAAACTTTGCCTTCTTCAACATCGCAAAAGCTCAAAGTTGATGAACATGGAAGAATTAGTGAGAAACAACCACTCAAGAAAGTTAAATCAAGCTTTAGAAGAATACCACGAAGCAGATCCAATCCTACGCAAAACAAGTAGTCATTTGAAACCTCAGATGTTTAAGTAAGATGATTTTCTAATGTATCGTGCGTTGATAGGATGACTGAAAGAAGGATCATAGAGCAGAAAAGAGTGTCTTCAAGGCATTTCTTTTGTTCAATATTTAATGTAGCTTAGCTTGCTGCTATTAGATGTTAGTTTCTTCTTAGGACTGTCCACTTAGCATCCAATTTTGTTCATTTGTAGCAACACTCATAGTTTTCTTAGTAATTTTCACTGTTGTAAACTTTTTTATATCAATGTGCATTTAAGTCCCACCTGTTTTTTGTTGAGATTGTGACTATGCATATGTATCTTGCTACTTTGTTGTCTCTTTTCTTACAATTCTGCGTCGTCAGATACTTTCCTTTTGAACCAAGGGTTTATCAGAAACAATCTCTTTACCTCAAAAGGTCGGGGTAAGGTCTGAGTATATCTATAGACCTGACCACGTGTGACATTACACTGGGTATGTAGTTGTTGTATTCTAATCACTATGCATCTGCATCTTGCTACTTTGTTGTCTCTTTTCTTACAATCCTACATCAGATACTTTTGCTTTGAGTCGAGAGTCTATCAGAAACAATCTCACTACCTTAAAAGGTATAGGGTAAGGATTTGAGTATATTCTACCCTTCCCAGACCCTATGTGTGGGATTACACTGAATATATATGTTGTTGTATTCTGACTATGCATCTCATTTTCTGCTCCGCGCACATTAAACTATGTTGGTTAAGTCATTGACTAGAGAGAATACCAGGATGCACAAAAGATAGAAAAATCACATGCCTAAGGAGATCCCAAACAAAGAAAAATTGATTATTTCAAAATGTTTGTACTTACGTGAATTTTTGGCTAAAATCATCTCTGAAGTATGACTTAAATCTAGAGCATATCCTTGTGTTATATAAGTGAACAAAAAACATTCTTGCATTATCCGAAAAAGTTGCAAGATTCATCCTTCTATTTATTTTTTTAAGAAACTCATGCCACCAACAAAATAAATGCATCAAGTTGAATGAATATATGAACACATGGTTAAGCTAGTCAAGTCGGTGATTTTTCTAATTTTCAGAAATAAGGATTTAAATCATCTTCATACAAAATATATTCAAATTCTAAATATTTTTTGTAAAAAGTATGGCCAAATACAACCCAACTTCAAAAGTTTCAAATAAAGATTTTTATTTTATTTTCATAACTAAACGCCTACATAATTTCACTAAAGTTCCAGCATTTCTGTACATTGTATAAAATGTGAATTGCATTGTATATAACGTACATACGTACTAAATATTTTATTAAAGAACATCTTTATATAGTTGGATGTAATATTTTTAAAATGATTTTTTTAAAATAATCTTTCTAACCATCGGAACCTACTGTATAAATATTTCCAAAGTTACGTATTGTTGCAAGTCAATTTACTTGATGATGCAAAAAACATATAAACTAACAACACACAAAATTTAAATTCCGAGAATGAAAGATTTATTTCTTATCCTTATCCTTATTCTTTTTAGGTAACTTTGATCTTCTCGTCGGGGCTAAGACATCACCAAATTCAAAAAATATTTTTTTTATTGATTCAATCAGTTTCTTAACAAAAAATTCACAGAATTTAAATTCTGAGAATGAAAGATTCATTTCCTATCCATATCCTTATTCTTTTTAGGTAACTTTGATCTTCTCGTCGGGGCTAAGACATCACCAAATTCAAAAAATATTTTTTTATTGATTCAATCAGTTTCTTAACAAAAAATAGAGTGAAGGATGATTCTTGTTATTTTTTGGATAGTATAATGATGTTTTTTGCTCACTTAGATAATATAAGGATGTACATTAGATTTGAGTCATAATTGAAAGATGATTTTAGCCAAAAACTCGTACTTATGTTGCTTCTAATTGATATTTCTAATATCCTTCCAACGATATATTATTTGTAAAATTTCAATTTCTAAAAATATCTTTCTAAGGATACATTATTTGTGAAATTCAGATATCGGATTAAGGAGATACGAGTGTTGAAAGTTGGGCTGTGTGAAATAAAAATCAAATATGGAAATTCAGAAGGCATAATACATAAATGTGTCATTTAACTTGCCCTCATTTCACATTTATGTTTTCAACTTCGGGTTTGCACAAGTTGACACTTGAACTTATATAAAGTTAAACAAGTTGACATATGAGTCCTATGTGTCATAATACATGTAGGACACAAATTGCCATGTAGGATGTCACGTAGAACGTGTGTGTGTGTCTATTTGTTCAATTGTATACAAATTTAAATGTCTACTTGTGCACACCCAAAGTTAGAGAGCATTAACGTGAAATGAGGTCAAGTTAAATGACATATTTATATATTATGCCAATTCAGAATGATGCCCAGATTTTTTATCTGATTTTCTCACTATGTACACTATAAGAAAAATGTGAATTACATGGGGATTTTCCTAGGGATTACATATGAAAATTCGCAAGAAACTAAGTTTCCTGCGGATTTTCCTATAAAAAAAATCCGATGGTAAAACTTTCCTAGGTAATTATTTCATGCGAATTTTAAAATCCCCAA